AAGATTGAAGGTGATTAAAAGGTGATTAAACTTTATTCTATGCTAATTATTTTAAATAGAATAACACCCATTGTACCCTTTCAAATAATATCACTTTTATAGCGATCATGAGAATTTTTGGGAGGGATATCATCTTTCCAACATCTAATCAATACTGAATATTACACATTTTTCAGAAATGAGATATTTTATCACCATGCATTGTGAAAATAACAGTACTGATAATATTATGCCATTCATAGCCTAACAAATATATGAATAAAGTTCGGTCAACATGCACTTGTTAGAACATCCTTTTAGATTTTTTACATCAAAGTACCCATGTCAACTCATGAATACACCGAGAGAGGAAAAGGAAAGCAAAAAAAAACTTTGAACAAAATATTAATTTTTGACTTACCATTATTGTGTTTATCACCATGCTTAGCATCACAGTGTAATAATCCTATCAAATTAATATAAATCCTAAAATATATCCTCCATTATCCACTCCTTGCTCTTGTATCATTTTTAGTTTCAGACCATCTAATGGATTAATCAATTATGGAAACATAGGGGTGACAGGTTGTGAGGAAACAAAACAAAGAGGTTGGGTTTATTAATAAAAGGGGTGACAGGTTAATACCAAGTACCTGAGTACTTTATGATGTATTGTCATGGCAACCATGATAAAACTTGGATGCAATCAATATATAACCATGGAAACTAGACAATTATGCATCATTATAATTGTGCTTATAATTCACTCACATCAACCTAAGCTAAAAGTCAAAATGATTTTACATTTTTTAGATTTTTAATAAATATATTTTTGCTAAGGAAATCATGAATAAAAAATATCTTCTCCTTCATGCTCAAGTCTGAGAGTCTGTTAAATGAATGGGTCATTACAATTAACTTTATAAAATTAAGAATTCTTTAATCATTTGTCGTTACCATGGATATAAAATGCATCAGAAAACATCAGACTTAGGTAATTCTACTCTTAACTTCAGAAAGTGTCTGTCCATGACCCCAATAAAATGGAAGTTTAGTAATCTTTACTTTAAATTTATCAGCATCCCAGCAATTTCTTTACTCTTTGGAGTTAAACGGGAATGTGTGTTTTAGGATACTTTCATCAAGTTTTGTGTTTCAACTCAAATAAGAAGTAAGATAACCTAGAAACCTGTAAAAACCAGACCAGGTATTCCAGGGGTTTATCTAAAGGTAGCTGCTCGAGCATAAGATCTTCTCTTGAACAAAAGTTATATACTGGGAGGTTAAGATACAGGGTTTACCCAGAGGGAAATATGTGTATCTTCCAAGAAACCACAGAGACACGTTAAACATACTTATAACAACTTGTAATGTATATTTACTCCTCTTTAAGTACTTAGGACTTCAGTAGTTACGGAGTACAACTCTTCTTCATGTCAAAACCTGACATATATTATTCATTTTCTAAACTTTTATTTCAAACAAGAGGATATGCTTACATGCCTAATTCCTTCATTTATTTCTATCTTAGTAACTCTATTTTATTTTCCATGTCAAAACCTAACCAAGAAAATTCACCTGACAGATGGTTTGAATTCTTGGTATCTGGCTTGATTTTATCATAGGTGTATGTGCCACTTAAAAGCTTTCATCATCCTTAAGAACAACCTGGCAACACCTGACTACTCTAGAACTGGACAAATTGCAGAATTCCAAATTACTAATATTTCATGAAATACTAGACACGAAGTAGTTATTATTCATTTAATTAGACATTTCTCATTTCTTGAGACATATAAAACTTAAACCCAGTTGAACCTTTGGTGAATTACTTAAAACGATGAAAAGCAAACAATTAGTACAGAAAAAAATCATTAAAGTATTTGAGCATTCAAAGTAAAAATAACTGAATTCAAAATTCCCCCGGTTTTCCCTTCCCCATATATAATATATTGAAAGTTTGAGAAATGAAATGCTCACAACTTTTTTTTCAAAAATCTCTGAAATAACTTTTTAAAGTCATGACAAAAAGTAAATGAATGATAAAAAAATATTTTCAAACTTTAGACGGGGACTTTTACAATGTAAATATTACACAGTACAGTAAAATTAATCTTATCCAAAGTCTACTGACTGAGACCATCCACATCTTCAGAGTTAGCAGATGTTCAAATTTCAAAGCATTTAGAATATGCACGTGGGACACAGCCAATATAATTCGGCGCTGTTTCGGCATCAAAAAAATTTGGCGCCGTTCCGGCACTGTTTCGGCACTGTTCCGGCACCGAAACCTTTCGACACCAAAATTTGCCACGGGACTAGTTAGTCAGGCACAGAAATTTTGCACCGAAATGGCGTTGAAAATCAGATAGCATTTTGGGGGTGTTGAAATGACCAACATGACCAAGAAAAAGTGTTCACATTGAGAGGTGTTCACATTGAGAGGTGTTCAGATATGTAGGTTTACCTGTATTATATAAAAAACAAACATAGGCAGACATGTCAGCATGTTTCTCTTTAAATTACCCATAATAACATGATAATTATATAGTACATTAGGAGCATCTGTTTTTAAATTTATTCAAAAATGAGACTGAATTGACCCCTATAGATTCATATACAAAGGCCATATGGAATTGAATACTGGTAACTGTTTTTAATTGGACATAAAAAACAAAATGTGTTTGTTAGTCTTAGCTATGAGGCTGCACTTGAAAACCATAAAATAATATTTTCAATATACAGTTAAACTTGTATATCTGAACACCTCTCTAATCCAAACACCTCTCAATGTGAACACTTTTCTAAGTCCCAATTTTGTTGCTTCCAATAAAATCCATCCTCCGATCACAGGGCTTCAAAATCCAGAAAAGCTTCTTAAGCAGTTAGCCTTTCCCTGATTAAGAACTCGCAATTTGATAGGCTGTCGCAGCACTGCGACAGAAATCATGTATAAGTCATTACGCATAATTAGATCATGTGATTCAGTTTAATCGGGCGCTTCCAAATTGGTTATAGCAGGGGGATTCTGGATACCTGCTTAGGAGGATGATAAACTCATGTTTTAAGAAACCTTCAAATGTGAACACCTGCCAATTAGAACACTTTTGGCTAGTCCCAGTGGTGTTCTGAATAGACATGTTTTACTGTACATAAAGTTATACTGAAAGTATTGAAAGTCTCTATTATATGTTTTGACAATTGAGGAACATTTGAGATTCATATTGCCAAAAATATATCAAAGGAGTTGGGTATGTGGTGAAGTTATCAAACGACAAAGGGAAAAGAAACTGAAAATTGACTTATTTTAGCCTGCTTATTGTCTTTTGAAACTACCTCGATGCTGCCATCTTTCAAAATCAAGACAAACCATAATCATAAATCAGGTCATGCAGTGTTGTAATAGAACTGCAATCTGATTATATTAGGCACAGAACACTTATTTGTGGTTGCCACATTATTTCAAATCATCAAAATTTCTTTAATTTTCATAGCTATTTTGGAGGAAATTCTGAAATTCCTTAACTTTTCCGAACAGAAAATACCATAATTACGGGGTGTGCCCTATCATTATATCCTATTCAATAACTTAACAACGCCTCATCTATTTCTATTTTCTCTTTCACTATCCTTCAGTTTTTGAGAAGGCAAGTCATCATAATAATTTAATGAGTTTGCAAGATATTTTCCGGTGAAAGCACTTAGACCCTACTGTCAGAAAGTCGTCCATATTTTGTTAATATTTCTGTTAAATGGATACAAAAAACCAGCATAGAAAATAATAAAAAAACATTCCTATTTTGGCCTTGCTTATTAATATTGTGGTAAACTTACAAATTTAAACTTTGTCCACCTATGTAACAGAATTTGACATTTTTATGGAAAAATTCTGAATCCTGTACAGCAGGTACACAAAACCTAACTCAAAAACATTCCCTTTTTCAGCTATTCTTTAAAGCTGGACTACGCTCCGAAACGCAATCTTGGGTTGTTTCGGGGGTGAACTTTATCATTTTGAGCTTAATGAAAGATTCAAACATGACCGTGCTCTATTCGAATTTCTCAACCAATCAGAATGCAGCATAGCCAATATAGAACGTTCTCTAATTCTCCATAGATGCACGACCATGCTCTATTCAATCTGCAATTTGCATTGTTTTGAGTGACGTCACATCTCAGCTGCACATCTGGGGCTCTGTCCGGGGATAGCTGTTCTTTTTTACTCCCTCCGTAACACGTGTATGCACGTTTGCATACACCGTATAAAATCTAAAACGGGGAGTAAAATAGAACAGCCCAAACAAATTCTAAAAATTTTCCGGCCGACTTCAGAATCTTGACAGCATGCGTATTCTTCCTTCATGCCCGTTCCACAGACACGGCTTTTACTAATTTTTATGTTTGAATCGGAATAAATAATGATAGGCCATTCAATATGGTGAAATTCAGCACTCGTTGGACAGAATGTTAGTACAAATGCACTCACCTTCGGTTCGTGCTTTGTACAACATTCTGTCCAACTCGTGCTGAATTTCACCATATTGAATGGCCTATCATTATTTATTCCTTAATTATAGAATGATGAACAAATGGGGCAAATCTTGTGTAGAAATACTTACGATAAATGTGTCATTTCAAAGATTTTCATTGAATTTGCTTCGATCGGTGCCGGCGATATGATTTTGGAAAGGTTTCTAAATGAAGAACGTGACGTCACTTCCGAATCATAGCATTCAAAATAAGTAGTGTTAATTACTTCCTCCTTTCATAATAATACGGTGGTGTAGCGGGTAGAATCCTAGCTGAGCACGCGGGAGGCCCGGGTTCGAATCCCGCACTAGCCTTTTTATTTTTTTAACTAAATGATTGTTCTTTGATATTACGCAGAAAAAAACAATTTTTATTTACATAAACTTTATATTAGAGCTTGAAAATGTAAAAACAATATATGTCAACATATTGCGTTTCGGAGCGTAGTCCAGCTTTAATATGGTAACATAATAATCTAAAGCATTACTTACCCAAGTCGAGGTTACTGCATTTGGGTTATGCACTGTTATGATTGGAGACGTAGCACGTAGCGACCCTGTTGCCCCGTGATAATAGCGGAATTCAACCTTTGTAACAGCTGAAGTGGAAGATTTGATAGGTCAGTGAAGATCCAGTGAAGAAAAAAATATCTAATGAAACAAATATCCAGTGAATTCTCCAACATTAAGGACAATACAATGGCAATATGACACTCAAAACGCAATATTACACTTCTTAAAACTGCATGCTACCTTGATAAAAAATCAATTTGCCAAAATTATGAAACATTGAGATAATATTGACCGAATCAGGTAAAATTAGGTTGAGGCACCCTATTGAGAAAATTTTTTTGGGAGGCCAGTGAGACTCATCAATTACTGCGTTTGTCGAATTTTTGAGACCCCAACCTCCAATCAATATGACTTTCCTGATTATAATGAAGGCCGATAATTTTGGACAAAAGAGCCAAAGGCCATTCTTTGCAACAATGTTGACAGACCAAGTGTGATAACAACGTCATTGCCTCCAGAGGTTTTTTTTTTACTCGAATTGATAGGACTGTAGAACCATTCAACTTAAGATTGCATTAACAGAGGACATAAATGCGTCTGGTATTTTCGTCTGGTACAACTGGAAATACTGTATCAGTTCATGCAGTGAACTGGACGTGTTTCTACCCCCTGATTAATGGCTCCAACTATGATTGTTCCACTTTCTAGAATGACCATCCTCCTAACGCAGGGTTCCAGACATCATCCAATATGTTCCTTCTTCCAAGAAGAAGAAGGAGGTACGAGTTCTGAATGGTCTTTGTTCGGAGGATGAAAATGGCAGACATTTAAAAATTCTCACAAGACAATATCATGATGTCATGTTTCATTTCGATCAAATTCTACCAGCACACATATGTGTGACGTCACTGATACAAAGTTGCAACGGGAATAAAAGTATTACATTGAAATATGTCTGAGTTCTGCCAATATAGGCCACCCTTGGGATGTTCTATATTTGGGCAAGAATGAAGGCCTCGATAGGTCAGCCTATATTGGCAGAAATCAGGCATATTTTACGTAATAGTGACATAACCTATAAAAATTACATAGTACATTTTTTTAATTCTTACCAGCGTTAAAAAATTCATCATTCTCGTCCAACTGCCACACTAGCTCCCCCTGCTGGGCTTGATTAACACCACGATTCTTGTAATCAATCCATCGATGTCTATTTCCTTCACCTAAAAAAAAAACAATTTTTAATAATCAAAATAAAAGACAATATACAGATTCAGCAGTCTAAAATAGAATAAATAAAATTATTTATAAAGCTAGCAAATGGTCGAAAAGTGAATTTTGCGAGACAAAAATGGCGGCCATTTTAAAAAAAGGTGAGCTTTTGAACCAAGAAGGGAGGTTTTCTGTATTGATGTTAAACAAAAATAGCTTAAAACAGGAATCATATTGCCAGAGGTTTTAAAAAGGGTCATTTTTTGACAGACAGTTGGACAGACAGACATTTATTCTGTGTGTACCAAAGTATTATATAATATGATCTGCACTTTTTGTATCTTATATTCTACCTTAAGTAAAAAATACTGACTTCCAAGATGAAAATTCTAGTGGCTGTAACCTTTTGAATTCCAAAAAATTAGAATAAAGAGTTTTTGATGATAAAACAACATCCTAATTGAAAAAGCATTTTAAGTATATTAATCTAATATCCTAATCTTATGTGCGTGTTATAATCTATTTATTTAGGTCGAGATTTTCGCATTGGGAGTTGACGATTACAACGAACCCACGAAAATAAATTCATGATGATCAAATTTTTAAATCCAAAAAGAGGAGAGTAGAGTGGAATTCCCAACGAATAAAAAAATTAGATCCTTACTAAATTCTCCAAATTGTGTAGAAAACAAAAAAAATTCACCAAATATATCACTCGAAACATGATTTATGGAGAAATAAAAGAAAATAGATTTAAAGAGAGGAATTCCCCATACGGGTTTCCTATTAAGCCAAATTGATTTTATATGAAGTAATCTTTTGATGCCTTAATTCAAATCAACGGAATGAATTACGATGACTCTTCTGTCTATGTTAGTTTTTTCCCATTTCTTTCACCAATATGGATTGCTCTTATATTGACTTTGGGATTCAATAGACATTCCGTCATACGAAAATATTTACAATGATTAGAATGTAGCGTCGGGTTAAGAAAATTGCTTTGAGGCAAGATATTCAATGAATCTAAATAATTAGCTGTGAACATTGGTTGGAAGCGGGGGTGAGCAGTAGGACATAGCGACTTTGGGATTGAATAGTCTTATAATAGACTTATAATAATTAGTCATCAACACTGGTTGGAGGGGGGAGGGTAATAGACAGAAGGGGGGGGTTGACAAAGGGGGATGAGCAGTTGAACATTGAGACTTTGGGCTCTAATGTACATTTCGTTATATAAAATTATTTACAGTACAGCAACTCGTACAAAAGGCGGTGGTGTGTACTTGTATGTCTATGTATAAGTGCACATTAAAGAACACAGGGCTCCTTCAAGGAGGGGTTTCTGGGTCTTCTAGGTTAATTACGTAAATTACGATCATATATATACGGGATACACCCAAGAGGTATTGTTCACCTTCATTGGTGGTAAACGAAATACAATACAATACAATATAATACAATACTAGGAAATATAATGTTGGGTTAAGAAAATTGCTTGAGACAAGACAGCCAATGAGTTGTGGGAGTAAGCTATATGACTTTGTGACTTTCAGATCCAATAAACATATTTTGTCATATGAAAACATGTTCAGTCACTATAAGGAATGGTGTCAGGTTATGAAGATGGCAAAAAGGCAACACATTCCAGTGAGTTGGGAAATAAAGGTTGATAAAAATTGCTCATAAACTTGGGTGGGAGGAGGGGGGGGGGGTGACCGGTTAGAACTTTAGAAGGATATGAAAATATCTTCTTATTGGTTTGGTAGGTAGATCGATCAGGACACCCTCTCCGCAGCAAAATGGCTTACCCACAAACTGATTACAATATAGCACCAAAGAAAATACAACTGATTACAATATAGCACCCAAGAAAATACAACTGATTACAATATAGCACCCAAGAAAATACAACTGATTACAATATAGCACCCAGGAAAATACAAGAGCAATGCTAAAGTTAAAGTATAAAGATCAAAGTGGACACTGACTGACAGTTTCAAGCTTCTGAATAACAAGATTAAGTCAATCTTTGAAAAATATCAATTTTTATCCAAGGATAATTATAAGGCTCTAAATCCCTGCCTCTCAACTCTAGTGTAATACATCATATTTGCTCTAGACTTCCTCTGTACACGCCCCTAGCTACACCCCCCTCCATAAATTTTGCAAACTGAAGTCCCCCTTTTGATCACTTTTCAAAGCCTGTTTATGTTTGGCGATTTAAAAAAATTCATCAAATATGTTAAAAATTTGGCGATTTAAAGAAATTCATCAAATATGTCAAAAATTTGGCGATTTAAAAAAATTCATCAAATATGTCAAAAATTTGGCAATTTAAGAAAATTCATCAAATATGTCAAAAATTTGGCAATTTAAAGAAAGTCATCAAATATGTCAAAAATTTTAGAACTGTACATGTATTGCAATTAAGAAACAAAATTAACAATCAAACAATAACTGGCTCTGCTATGCTTTCATACATAGCTAGGCAAGGTGTGTCCGATTTCAGCCAATCCAAACACATATTTCCCAACACATTTGCTTTGTATGGGTTTCAAGGTGAGGAGATTGAAATTGATGCTTTGCCAATACTTGACCATTGAAAAAAGATTCATTGAAAATATGTTCCTTTAGTGATTTTGTATCTTTTAGGTGATTTTGGAGAAAATATTTGGCAATGTGTGAAAAGAATTTAAGCCAAGACTCAATGCATTGTAGCTGCTTCATTCCACCCAGGCGTTGTTTCCTAAACTTTGCATTCCCGCTGCGCAGTCATGCAAAGAAATGGAAACAACACCTTCATGGTGCGATTCAGCAAACAATGCATTGAGTCCAGGGCTTAAATCCTTAAATCAAATGAAACAACTGGTTGCCATAATTATGGAGGGGAGTGTACATCATATTGGCTAAACTCCCTATATAATAAAAGCAACAATTTCAATCTTTTATACAATTGTGACATATAATAATGATGTATCCCTCAGCCATCAAACTTATGGAGGGGAGTGTACATCATATTGGCTAGACTTCCTATATAATAAAAGCATCAATTTCAATCTTTTATACAATTGTGACATATAATAATGATGTATCCCTCAGCCATCAAACTTATGGAGGGGAGTGTACATCATATTGGCTAGACTTCCTATATAATAAAAGCATCAATTTCAATCTTTTATACAATTGTGACATATAATAATGATGTATCCCTCAGCCATCAAACTTATGGAGGGGAGTGTACATCATATTGGCTAGACTTCCTATATAATAAAAGCATCAATTTCAATCTTTTATACAATTGTGACATATAATGATGATGTATCTGAGATTTGTTGTATTGTTCACCTTTACCAATGATTAATAGTTCTGTTATCAGGTAGTTCTCTCATAAATATTTTTCTTAAATAGGATTAGGGGCACAAGTTGTCAAAGCAGATATTAATTAATATATGAGAAAAAATATCTATAGATAATATTCAGCTTTTATATGTGTGAAGGATTACGAATGTTCAATTTCTTGGGAAATATTCAAAATTGCTTTAGTTGATGCTTAGAATAATGCACCCAATCTACTACAGAGCTGCTACACCCCAAAAATGCAATCTGATTTTCGACGCCGTTTCGGTGCCAAATTTCGGTGCCGTTTCGGCACCAAATGGACTGACTAGTCCGGTGGCAAATTTTGGTGTCGAAAGGTTTCGGTGCCGGAACGGTGTCGAAACAGTGCCGGAACAGCGCCGATTTTTTTCGATGCCGAAACGGCGCCGAATTAAATTCTCAACCAGAGGTCAATAACCTCAACAGCAGATTTGCACCACAACTATAGGCTTTTACTCTCAACTTCAAAAATTCACCATCAACAACAAGTATGTACCCTAAATTGTAGAATTGCACCTTAAACTGTAGAATTGCACCCTCAACAACAGATTTGCACTCCCCACCCTCAACTGTGATAATTCACCCTGAGCAACATATCTGTACCCTAAACTGTAGAAGTGCATCTGCAGATTTGCACCCTCAACTGCAAATTTGCACCTTCAACTACAATTATGCAGTCAAGAGCCTTTAGTCCAAACACTACAAAACTACAGATTATCACGCTCTAAATAAAAGGACCATGTCTTCAACTTACCTCCTAAAAACAATCCTATCCAATCTGTACTGCCAACCTTTTCCTTTATATCCCAATGCACTAACAACTTATCCCCAGTTGCTAAATAAAAGGACCATGTCTTCAACTTACCTCCTAAAAACAATCCTATCCAATCTGTACTGCCAACCTTTTCCTTTATATCCCAATGCACTAACAACTTATCCCCAGTTGCTAAATAAAAGGACCACGTCTTCAACTTACCTCCTAAAAACAATCCTATCCAATCTGTACTGCCAACCTTTTCCTTTATATCCCGATGCACTAACAGCTTATCCCCAGTTGCTAAATAAAAGGACCATGTCTTCAACTTACCTCCTAAAAACAATCCTATCCAATCTGTACTGCCAACCTTTTCCTTTATATCCCAATGCACAAGCAATTTATCCCCAGTTGCTAAATAAAAGGACCATGTCTTCAACTTACCTCCTAAAAACAATCCTATCCAATCTGTACTGCCAACCTTTTCCTTTATATCCCAATGCACTAACAGCTTATCCCCAGTTGCTAAATAAAAGGACCATGTCTTCAACTTACCTCCTAAAAACAATCCTATCCAATCTGTACTGCCAACCTTTTCCTTTATATCCCAATGCACTAACAACTTATCCCCAGTTGCTAAATAAAAGGACCATGTCTTCAACTTACCTCCTAAAAACAATCCTATCCAATCTGTACTGCCAACCTTTTCCTTTATATCCCAATGCACTAACAACTTATCCCCAGTTGCTAAATAAAAGGACCATGTCTTCAACTTCCCTCCTAAAAACAATCCTATCAAATCTGTACTGCCAACCTTTTCCTTTATATCCCAATGCACTAACAACTTATCCCCAGTTGCTAAATAAAAGGACCATGTCTTCAACTTACCTCCTAAAAACAATCCTATCCAATCTGTACTGCCAACCTTTTCTTTTATATCCCAATGCACTTACAACTTATCCCCTGTTGCTAAATAAAAGGACCATGTCTTCAACTTACCTCCTAAAAACAATCCTATCCAATCTGTACTGCCAACCTTTTCCTTTATATCCCAATGCACTTACAACTTATCCCCTGCAGTTGCTAAATAAAAGGACCATGTCTTCAACTTACCTCCTAAAAACAATCCTATCCAATCTGTACTGCCAACCTTTTCTTTTATATCCCAATGCACTTACAACTTATCCCCAGTTGCTAAATAAAAGGACCATGTCTTCAACTTGCCTCCTAAAAACAATCCTATCTAATCTGTACTGCCAACCTCTTCCTTTATATCCCAATGCACTAACAACTTATCCCCAGTTGCTAAATAAAAGGACCATGTCTTCAACTTACCTCCTAAAAACAATCCTATCCAATCTGTACTGCCAACCTTTTCCTTTATATCCCAATGCACTAACAACTTATCCCCAGTTGCTAAATAAAAGGACCATGTCTTCAACTTGCCTCCTAAAAACAATCCTATCCAATCTGTACTGCCATCCTTCTCCTTTATATCCCAATGCACTAACAACTTATCCCCAGTTGCGAAATAAAAGGACCATGTCTTCAACTTACCTCCTAAAAACAATCCTATCCAATCTGTACTGCCAACCTTTTCCTTTATATCCCAATGCACTAACAACTTATCCCCTGCAGTTGCTAAATAAAAGGACCATGTCTTCAACTTACCTCCTAAAAACAATCCTATCCAATCTGTACTGCCAACCTTTTCCTTTATATCCCAATGCACTAACAACTTATCCCCAGCTGCTAAATAATAGTCCGTCTTATCAACAGTCAATTTGGAGGACTCTTTGAGAAAATCTGTGAATGCTAGATTGGTATCGCTGTTCGCTCGATCATGAAGTCTCAGACGTCCAAAGTTATTTAGGCTTGAGAGGGACAAAGTATTTGGAAGTATAGCCTCTGATCCATGGAGGCATTCTGTGCTTTGGCTCAGGCTGGCGGAAGCGCTGGCCATCTTTCGAGGTACGAGACAGAAGTCCTGAAAATATAACAATCTAAAAGTTAAAAATATTATGCATATATATGATACAAAAGTTCTGAAAGTATAATAATATAAAAGTTATACAGTAAAACTTGTTTTAAGTCGAACACCTCTATAAGTAGAAAACCTCAGGAGAACACCTCTATAAGTTGAACACTTTTTAGAGTCCCATGACCAAATGACTTAGTGTTAAACCAAAAATTGTAAGTGGAACACCTCAAAAGTGGAACACTGGTACCAAAGGTGTTCTACTTACACAGGTTTTACTGCAACTTATGGGAGGTGTTCTACTTACAGAGGTGTTTCTCTTAAAAAAGTTATAAATAATTATTTTCTTCAAATCAATCATTTCATATTTAATCAGAATGATACCAGACATATATGACATTTTACAGTACAACTACACTGTTAACTCTGTCTTGGCATTTTTAGTAGTTTAATAGTTCATAACACAAAACGAACTTTGGATATTTACACCGAGATGTTAATCTCTTATTAATATTTAACTCAAAGACACACTTTTCGACTTGTACCTATGTTAAACCTATCTTAGATTAAAGGTGCAACAATTAGTACAAAGGGGCCATAAACGATCATGGACCAGTGTCAAAATATATTTAAGTTTGGATATTTCATCAAGACTAACATATATTTGTATTATCTACAAAGAAACCCCCTGGATGAACATTATTTCAGCTGATATTCCTCTTGAAACGTGGTGAATCTTAAATATCTATAAGTGGGACTCCCTTTATAGAAGCTTTGGATAGAATTTACACTTCTTAATGCTGAAATTGAGAGTTCATCCTTACATTTTAAGAAAATAGGTATGTCAAAGAAGATGTTAAGCCAAATATTGACCTGATAGCTCAGAAAAAATAAAAAATTCAATTTTTCTCTCTACAGTCCTTGTTGCCCCTTTAAAAGCCTTGACTCCCAGGAATTTTTGTAGAAGTGCCACAGGTCTGTTATTCAAAGACAAACAATGAGTTCTTGACCTTATAAAAAAAACAACCATTTTTTCCGAAATTCAATGGTTTCATTGCATATCATGTAACCATCATTTCAACCTTGAAGATCAAAGGAAAAATCATTATTTCAACCTTTAAAAACCATTGCGCAACCATTACTGCACCCAATCTTTTCAACCCTTTTTACATAAAGTTGCAATGGTTACGCAACCATTTTTGAGAAACCATTGCAAAACTATTACAACCATTACCCATTGAAATAAACAGTTACAATTGATTGCAACCATTGATGGAGAACTGCAACTGTTGCAATCATTAATTCTGGAAATGAACACTCATGGGTAGACCCGTAGCCAGCTTTTGCACTTTTTAAAAATTTCCAAGGGAATTCACATTTGATAAATATGGCCCAAAAAATGGCCAAAATCACTTGAGAAGTGATCAATATGGTGAAAAACTGCATGAATTTGAAATTATTTTTGGCCATGGTGAACTGCCCCTCCCCCGAACAACCCTGTTTACGAGCCTGGAAGACAATGATAACTTTCAAATTTTAAATACTTTCTCATTTAATCATTAGAGCCCTCTTATCAGGAATGCAGTACCCAATTAAAATCTGACACAAAAAATATTTAAGATTCTTTTTTGTTTCAATTCAATTTTGTTTAATTTTGCAGGCTTATTTTCATTTAGAAAATTGTAAAAATACAAGTTAAGATTTTACATTATTGAATTCAGATAAGGTACCAAGACAGAGCAGCAACAGTTACACAGACAGAGCGGCAACGGTTGAAATGCTAATTATAACCATTGAAAAGCTAATTATAACCATTGAAATGCTAATTATAACCATTGAACAGCCAATTAGATTAAGTTCTGTTTTGATAGTATAATAAAATCATTACAAATTATGTCTCTTTCTAAAAATTATTTTTGTCTGAACAATTTATTTTTGAATTCCCCCTACCATAATAATGACACAATCATAGTTAATAAGATGAGATTCACATTAAGATTTTTAAAACCAGCTATGGTCTTGATGAATTCTCTCTTTTTGTAGCAATACTTAATTTAGAAGTTCATAATACAATTTTGAGACAATATTCTATACCATAGGGTATGACTTAAGCTCCATACTCAAATTATTTCTATTTGATTAATTTCATTTGATTGTAGAGGATGAAGTGTATTCGTGCTTAGGACTTCAAGATCATGCTCATATGCATATTATTTCTATTTAATTTTTAAGTTAATCATGAATATTAAATGATATCAATATCATTTATACTTGCATCTAATCTATTGCTAAGCAGAGACTTTTTATGTCTCTGTGCTAAGCAAGAATATTTCAGGAACAGGGATTTAGCTTTTGGGGTAGATTACAAATTGCCTTGATGTCTGTCTTTGAATATTAGTTACTTCAGTCATCCAGATACGATTTCACTCAAGTATAGATTTTACTGTATTGTACATCTAATGATAGGTACATGTACTTAAAACTTTAAGATTCTGCTTCCCTATCTGATTACTGAACCTGAGGGTTTCTCTTCTGTAACTCAAACACTGACATTGATAAAGTTGGTTGCTGATCTTGAATTTAATCCAATAGTAATAATTAACATTTGTAAATGATATTGAAGAAAAGACAGTCAATCCGGCTCTTGCCTAATCCAAAGCATAAATACAAGGATGTTGATGTTTCAAAATCATGTATTGGAAAAACTTTCAGTTTAATCTACTTAATTGTTGTAATAAAACTTCTTTGATATTGGAGAAGCAGTTATTTCGGCACTAGCTTAATCCAAATCATAAACAATAGGCAGGAAATACAATCTTTGATGTTTCATAATATGTATGTATTTTTAGTCAGAAACATTTTTTGTTGAGACAGGAGAAAAATAGGAAAATTCCACAGAATGTTTTGTTGTATTGTTCAGTAAAACTGAATGAATCAAGAAAGAGAAATTACAAGAATGACCAGGCCAAAAATGAATACACTTGATTCTCTTCAATGGGAACAGAAGTCCTGAAAATATAACAATCTAAAAGTTAAAAATATTATGCATATATATGATACAAAAGTTCTGAAAGTATAATAATATAAAAGTTATACAGTAAAACTTGTTTTAAGTCGAACACCTCTATAAGTAGAAAACCTCAGGAGAACACCTCTATAAGTTGAACACTTTTTAGAGTCCCATGACCAAATGACTTAGTGTTAAACCAAAAATTGTAAGTGGAACACCTCAAAAGTGGAACACTGGTACCAAAGGTGTTCTACTTACACAGGTTTTACTGCAACTTATGGGAGGTGTTCTACTTACAGAGGTGTTTCTCTTAAAAAAGTTATAAATAATTATTTTCTTCAATTCAATCATTTCATATTTAATCAGAATGATTCCAGACATATATGACAATTTACAACTACACTGTTAACTCTGTCTTGGCATTTTTAGTAGTTTTATAGTTCATAACACAAAATGAACTTTGGATATTTACACCGAGATGTTAATCTCTTATTAATATTTAACTCAAAGACACACTTTTCGACTTGTAGTTATGTTAGACCTATCTTAGATTATAACAGCCTTGACTCCCAGGAATTTTTGTAGAAAGTGCCACAGGTCTGTTATTCCAAGACAAACAATGAGTTCTTGACAAAACAACCTGTACATATTGATTTACATACAAGTCAGGTTGATTTACATACAAGTCAGAGCCGTAAGGGCAAAATATCAAAATGTCACCAATGCTTAAAATCCAAGATCAAATTCATTACTTTAAAGATTGCATTTTGTTTCACAATTGTATTGAATCAAAAGAATTATAGTGAAACTGACTCCAAGAAAAATGATGCTATATTCATGTCTCAGAATTTATCAAGAATATGTTGACTTCAATTATATTTCAAACGATGCAATCTAATGTTTCATACTAAACAAATATTTCTTTCTATTTTGAGAGCAATCTATTTACCGTTCAATGTTTTTCATGGAGTGTATTCCCCGCAGCCCCTGCCGCCCCAAAAAGTGAGGGGGAGCCCCAAAAAGGGGTACATTCACCCCCAGAATTTAAAAACAAGTTACAGGTTACATAGTGCTTGCTTTAAGCATTTGAAATAATGATCTAATTATATTTTTTCAACAAGTTATACAAAATTCCTTCCAATCGCACCCAATCGCACCCTTGCACCCCCCCCCCTTCCCTAATGGCTACACCCATGTATGAGATAAATGTATGTGTAAAAATCTTTTCTTGTATCATTGCTCTAAATACTACAAAAATGTCATAGTTTTTTAGAGGAAAGGGGATTTTAAAGTCAGCTTGCGATAATTGTTTGATACTAACCCATTCTCCCCAGCCTAACATACTCGCTGCAATAACGAAGAACTCTAATTCTAATTCATTAGGTAGATCTCATACAATCATTGTCTATTGCTTCTAGAGAAAGTCCATTACATTGAATCTAAATTAAATGTTCTCTGCTTCGTGAAAACTCGATCCTATACAGGAGATCCTTTGCATATTCATGTATCTAATATCCACGTATCTAATATCAGATATATTCTATCCATTGCTTTTTTCAAGCAAAATCTCCAATGTATATATACATTGTACAGTATGTGGCCATATTATTTCTACGTGATTTCCCAATCGTCTTATGATGCAACTTTTAAGATTGAATTCCCAAATCATGTCAATGTATCCAGGCCAGCTGACAAATATATACACGTTGCTTCATATATTCATAATTAATAACTTCCGCCTTTTTCAACTCATCAAGTTTATTTTTCTTTCCATTTCTTTGAATTCCAAAATCATGCCAATGTATCCAGGCCAGCTGACAAATATATACACGTTGCTTCATATATTCATAATTAATAACTTCCGCCTTTTTTAACTCATCAAGTTTATATTTCTTTCCGTTTCTTGCTCAATCCTCCAAGTATCCATATATGCAGTAAAGCATGGACTTTTATTTATGAAGAGGGATGGAATGCATACTAATTAAATAAATTGCTCTAG